GTTCCTACCAAGATTTTCACTAGGACTAATGGCTTGAAAAACCACCGTTGTATTCAACTACAAGAACCTTCATGGCTAATCTCCGAAAAACCCATCCTCTCCTAAAAATCGCTAACAGTACCCTAGTTGACCTCCCAGCTCCTATTAATATCTCAGCTTGATGAAATTTTGGTTCTCTCTTAGGATTCTGCCTTGCTGCTCAAATCCTAACTGGCCTATTTCTAGCAATACACTACACCTCTGACATCTCTATAGCATTTTCATCCATCGCACATATCTGCCGTGATGTAAACTACGGCTGGCTCATTCGAAATATTCACGCCAACGGAGCCTCTCTCTTTTTTGTCTGTATTTACTTTCACATCGGTCGAGGCCTATATTATGGATCTTACTTATACAAAGAAACATGGAATATTGGTGTTATCCTCCTCCTCCTCGCCATAATAACAGCCTTTGTAGGATATGTACTCCCTTGGGGACAAATATCATTTTGAGGAGCAACAGTTATTACTAACTTACTCTCAGCAGTCCCTTACGCAGGGGATGCCTTAGTTCAATGAATTTGAGGTGGTTTTTCAGTCGATAACGCCACACTAACCCGATTCTTTGCTTTTCACTTCCTCTTCCCCTTCATAATTGCAGCCACAACTATAATTCACTTAATTTTTTTACATGAAACCGGCTCCAACAATCCTACAGGCTTAAACTCAGACGCTGATAAAATCTCCTTTCACCCCTACTTCTCCTACAAAGATGTGCTTGGCTTCGCCCTTCTCCTCATCATCTTAATCTCATTAGCACTATTTTCCCCTAATCTCCTTGGAGACCCCGAAAACTTTACGCCCGCCAACCCCTTAGTTACTCCCCCCCACATCAAACCAGAATGGTACTTTTTATTCGCATACGCCATTCTACGCTCTATTCCTAATAAACTAGGAGGAGTACTAGCCCTACTAGCATCTATCCTTATTCTTATGCTAGTCCCTACTCTTCATGTATCTAAGCAACGCAGTCTAACCTTTCGTCCCGTCACTCGATTCTTATTCTGACTTTTAATTGCAGATGTAGTTATTCTAACATGAATTGGAGGAATGCCAGTAGAACACCCCTACATTATTATTGGACAAGTAGCCTCTTTTTTATATTTTTCCTTATTCCTCTTCCTTTCACCCACCGCAGCCTGATTAGAAAACAAAGTCCTTGGACTCAAATGCATTAGTAGCTCAGCTCAGAGCGCCGGTCTTGTAAACCGGATGACGAGGGTTAAATTCCCCCCTACTGCTCAAAGAAAAGGGAGTTTAACCCCCACCGCTAGCTCCCAAAGCTAGTGCTCTAAATTAAACTATTCTTTGCCGAGCTTCGCCCCACCGCACCCCAAAAATGTACACAAATGTACATATATGTATTATCCCCATTAACAGATATTAACCATATATAAGTAATGCAATCCTACATTTAATGAAGATATATATATATATATATTAACCATATAATTATAACTAAACATGTATATATTACATAAACCATTAATTGATGAATACATGAACTTGATTTCCCGTTAGCGAAATTGAATTGCCCTAGCTAACCAATCCATAAGTCTAGTTATACCAGGACTCAGCATTTCTGATAAACAAAATCCGATGTAGTAAGAAACCACCATCAGTTGATTTCTAATTGAATACGTTTCTTGATAATCAAGGACAATAATTGTGGGGGTTTCACTATATGAACTATTCCTTGCATTTGGTTCCTATTTCAGGAACATAAGTTAAAGACCCCTCATTCTTTCCTTAAAAATTGCATAAGTTAATGGTGGAGTACATACCTTCTTTACCCACCATGCCTAGCGTTCTCTCCACAGGGGCAGCTGGTTCTCTTTTTTAGGTTTCCTTTCATTTGGCATTTCACAGTGCATACAGAATAACTAAATTAAGGTTGAACATTTCCTTGTAATAGTATATGTATGTAATTCTTAAAAGACTTTGGTTTTAGACTTGCATAACTGATATGAGTACATAACACATGAAATTTTCCCCTGATTTTTCACTTAAACGCCCCTCTCGGCTTTTGCGCGTCAAACCCCCCTACCCCCCTTACCTCTCGAGACATCATTATGAATCCTGCAAACCCCCCGGAAAACAGGAAAGCCTCTACTAGTATTCGTAACCCTTTATTTGTTTTTAATGTTATAATATTACAATATTGCAAACGCTAGTGTAGCTTAACTAAAGCATAACACTGAAGATGTTAAGATGAACCCTAAAAAGTCCCACAAGCATAAAAGCTTGGTCCTGACTTTTCTATCAGCTCTAGCAAAATTTATACATGCAAGTATCCGCATCCCCGTGAGAATGCCCCACAGTTTCCTCTTAAGGAAATAAGGAGCTGGTATCAGGCACACACAGCTAGCCCACGACACCTTGCTTAGCCACACCCCCAAGGGAATTCAGCAGTGATAAACATTAAGCCATAAGTGTAAACTTGACTTAGTTAAAGCTAAAAGAGCCGGTTAAACTCGTGCCAGCCACCGCGGTTATACGAGAGACTCAAGTTGATAGCTTTCGGCGTAAAGCGTGGTTAGTAAACAAATTTAATACTAAAGCCAAACTCTCTCAGGGCTGTCATACGCATCCGAGAGCATGAAGATCAGTAACGAAGGTAGCTTTAAATATTTCGACTCCACGAAAACTGTGAAACAAACTGGGATTAGATACCCCACTATGCACAGCCATAAACTTTGGTAGCACCTTACAACTGCTACCCGCCCGGGTACTACGAGCATAAGCTTAAAACCCAAAGGACTTGGCGGTGCTTTAGACCCCCCTAGAGGAGCCTGTTCTAGAACCGATAACCCCCGTCTAACCTCACCTTCCCTTGCCTATCCCGCCTATATACCGCCGTCGTCAGCATACCCTGTGAAGGTACTACAGTAAGCAAAATTGGTCCAACCCAAAACGTCAGGTCGAGGTGTAGCATATGAGAAGGAAAGAAATGGGCTACATTTCCTCATTGAGGAAATTACGAAATGTACTATGAAATCATTTACATGAAGGAGGATTTAGTAGTAAGCAGAAAATAGAGTGTTCCGCTGAACCTGGCCCTGAAGCGCGCACACACCGCCCGTCACTCTCCCCAAGCCAGCTACCTACATACTTAATAAACTAATATAGGCAAAGGGGAGGCAAGTCGTAACATGGTAAGTGTACCGGAAGGTGCACTTGGAAAAATCAGAGCGTAGCTGAGACAGAAAAGTATCTCCCTTACACTGAGAAGTCACCCGTGCAAATCGAGTCGCTCTGAAGCCTAACAGCTAGCCTATCATCTAAAATCAATTAAAAATATTACTAACCCCTAATTACCCTAATAACTTAACCTAAACCATTTTTCCTCCTAAGTAAAAGTGACAGAAAAGGATCCAACTATAGAGCTATAGAGAAAGTACCGCAAGGGAATGCTGAAAGAGAAATGAAAAAATCCAGTCAAGCACCAAAAAGCAGAGACTTACCCTCGTACCTTTTGCATCATGATTTAGCAAGTCGCTCCAAGCAAAAAGCCTTTTAGTTTGACTTCCCGAAACTAGACGAGCTACTCCAAGACAGCCTATCTATAGGGCCAACCCGTCTCTGTGGCAAAAGAGTGGGAAGAGCTTCGAGTAGAGGTGACAGACCTACCGAGCCTAGTTATAGCTGGTTGCCTGGAAACTAAATAGAAGTTTAGCCTCTTATTTTCTCCTTCCAACCTTTTGGCCCCTCCCCCTTAAACCAGGTCTAGAGAACCCGTAAGAGAGTTAGTCAAAAGGGGTACAGCCCTTTTGAATCAAGATACAACTTTCCTAGGTGGATTATAATCAAAATTAACTAAGGTTGATGTTCTAGTGGGCCTAAAAGCAGCCATCAAGAAAAATAGCGTTAAAGCTTAAACATACCTCCCACCTATTATTTTGATAACAAATTATATTCCCCTTAAACCTACCAGGCCATCCTATCCTTCAATAGGAAAGATTATGCTAATATGAGTAATAAGAGAATATACTTCTCTCCAAACACATGTGTACATCGGAACGGATTACCCCCCGGTATCTAACGGCCCTAATCATAGAAGGAGATAGAGTAAAAATAAATAACAAGAAAAACCTCTAACAAAATTACCGTTAACCCCACACTGGCGTGCAAACCCGGAAAGACTAAAAAGAGAAGAAGGAACTCGGCAAACTATATTCTAAGCCTCGCCTGTTTACCAAAAACATCGCCTCTTGAAACCATTTTATAAGAGGTCCCGCCTGCCCCGTGACTTTACAGTTTAACGGCCGCGGTATCTTGACCGTGCAAAGGTAGCGCAATCACTTGTCTTTTAAATGAAGACCTGTATGAATGGCAAAACGAGGGCTTAACTGTCTCCTTCCCCAAGTCAATGAAATTGATCTTCCCGTGCAGAAGCGGGAATACTTACATAAGACGAGAAGACCCTATGGAGCTTTAGACACAAAGACAGATCATGTTAAACCCTCTTTGTTTATAAGATAAAACCAATTGACCACTGTCGTGCGTCTTCGGTTGGGGCGACCACGGGGAAACAACCAACCCCCATGTGGAAAAGAAACACCTTATGTTTCCAAACCTAAGAGCCACAGCTCTAAATAACAGAATTTCTGACCTAACAGATCCGGTATTACCGATCAACGGACCAAGTTACCCTAGGGATAACAGCGCAATCCTCTTTTAGAGCCCATATCGACAAGAGGGTTTACGACCTCGATGTTGGATCAGGACATCCTAATGGTGCAACCGCTAATAAGGGTTCGTTTGTTCAACGATTAAAGTCCTACGTGATCTGAGTTCAGACCGGAGTAATCCAGGTCAGTTTCTATCTATGAAATGATTTCTTCTAGTACGAAAGGACCGAAGAAAAAAGGCCAATGCTACAAGTACGCCTTATCCTCATCTAATGAAAACAACTAAAATAGACAACGGGACATAACCCCACGCTACAAATAATAGCATATTAAGATGGCAGAGCCCGGCCAATGCAAAAGATCTAAACCCTTTCCACAGGGGTTCAAATCCCCTCCTTAATTATGATTTCCACCCTACTTTATACCTTTATTAATCCTCTAATACTAATTATCTTTATTTTACTAGCCGTAGCCCTCCTCACCCTGCTTGAACGCAAAGTCCTCGCTTATATACAATTACGAAAAGGTCCCAACGTAGTTGGGCCTTATGGTCTTCTCCAACCCTTCGCTGACGGTCTTAAACTCTTTATTAAAGAGCCGATTCGCCCCTCAACAGCCTCCCCCCTTTTATTTATTATTACACCAATTTTAGCCTTCACCCTAGCCCTAACTCTATGAACCCCTATACCTCTTCCCTTTCCCTTGGCCGACCTTAACCTAGGAGTCCTATTTATTTTAGCCATCTCAAGCCTAGCAGTTTATTCCACCCTAGGTTCAGGTTGAGCATCTAATTCAAAATATGCCCTTATTGGGGCCCTGCGGGCCGTAGCCCAAACTATTTCATATGAAGTCAGTTTAGGACTTATCCTTCTAAACGCAATTATTTTTACAGGAGGTTTTACATTGCAAACATTCAACATTGCTCAGGAAAGCATTTGATTAATTTTCCCCACCTGGCCCTTAGCAGCCATATGATATGTCTCCACCCTAGCAGAGACTAATCGTGCCCCTTTCGACTTGACAGAGGGAGAATCAGAGTTAGTGTCCGGTTTTAATGTTGAATATGCAGGTGGTATATTTACCCTATTCTTCCTTGCAGAATATACCAATATTCTTCTTATAAATACCCTCTCTGCCATTCTCTTCCTTGGCTCCCCCATTTACCACTTATACCCAGAAATTACATCTATTGCTCTAATAACAAAAGCAGTACTCCTCTCAGTCCTTTTCCTTTGAGTGCGAGCCTCTTACCCCCGATTTCGATACGATCAATTAATACATTTAATTTGAAAAAACTTTCTTCCCCTTACTCTAGCTCTCGTGATTTGACACCTCTCACTTCCAATTACCTTCTCTGGCC